GAGCCCGAAGGCCCAGGCCGTCGCCCTGAGTATATTATGACCCAGCTTAGGGCTGGTCGATGACCAGTGACCCGGTAACCTTTCGGCAGGGAGCATCCGCATACCGAAATGCTCGGGACTGGGCAAAGGAAAAGAGGGACGAATTTATTAGGGCAGCAAATGAAACGCACTCAAAGGCTCAATCTCAGCTTCTTCATTCAACCTCTCAGTCCCAGACGGCTTCCGAGGCAGCTCTTACCTTAGACGACTCTGATCTATCGACATTGTCTGACCAAACAGAGTATCAAGACACCCAATGGAGCTTCGCAAATACAACCGAAGAAGGGAGAGGAGAGTCTCAGATTCTTAGTACACACGCCAAGAAGCCGAGAGTTGGCTCCGTTGTTCAAGGTGATACAGCGGGTAATAAGTCTACTAGATGTCCGAATTGATGATAAACAAGGCTGTCATGCACAGAGGGAATCCATAACCTGCACCAGGGCAGCTTCCCTTTTGGGGTTGGTCAAAGTCACAAGACTATGCGCGGCAATTGACGAGTTACCAGAATTTAAGCCTGAGGAACTACAGCAGTCTGAACAGAGCCTCTCGGAAGCGACTACTGGGCTTTCTCAGGAAATTGGAGCTGTTGGCCTGGGCTCGAGCTTTACATCTCAATTAGAAGAGGAGTGTGAGCCTCTTCCTACTTCGCGGAATGATGACTTAGGAAATTTGCGGCCGAACGAAAAGAAATCTAAACAAGGAGTGCCAAGGAAAAGACGAAAATAGCGATGCAGACAGCTAACCTGACCACGATAATTTGCCTAACCTTATTGGTATTCGGGATATCCCGCATCGCTAAGATCCGTTAAGGATCCGCGTTGTGAAGTCAAGGCTCAGAACCAGGAGTTCAAGGAATACAAATCCCAAGATATACAGGGGAAGTGCAGTTATTTTACGTGGGATAAATCCAAAGTAGATAGGCGGTGGAGAGCAGCGAGAGAAAAATGGCCTGTATATATCAATCAGGCAATGCGTCGCTTCAACACCATCTGAATAAACATTTACAGTGTCAAACATTCTTTTTCAAAGAAAACGATTGCGTTTGCATCGTGATGAAAATTTAAAAGCTTCAATACTTCGAGCGCCATGATAAGGATAATTAGGGGCAACGGTAGCAAATGAAAAGTGGCTGAGCATATGGGTCAAGCTACATGCATTTTCCCCGTTGGAGGAGCGGTCACTTTTAACCATGTCTAGATATTCGATGGCGGCTTATCGCAGTTTTGCGCACGCTGGTTCCACGATATGCATGGCCACCCGTCAAGTGGCCTGCCCAAAACCATTTGATGTCAAGCCCATCACGTGACGATACTGCCAACCTCTAGCCACAAAACGTTAACCCCAATGGGCTTGCTGTCAGACAGTTTCTCCTCCCGAATGATTGGTTGCCCACCTCTATTTGAGCCCTTAATAATTCCCCTCGCTCAGTTATATAACTAGATAAATGTTACTTTCTAGCATAGCCAAGCTTCCACAACGGATCACATATTTTGACCCAGGAACTCTTCCTCCTCATTAGCCTTTCCATTGATGACTGCTCGCTCTTTAGCAGGAAAAATAACCTCTCAGCCTGGGCTGAATACTGCTCCCATATCATGGGAGCAAACTGGCTCCTCAGCTGGGCTTTCCCCTTATCCGACCGTTTGAGGACTGCAGAAAAAAAAAAATTTCGTCGTCCTTGTCGACGAGCTGAAAAAAAAAAAAAAAAAAAAAAAAAAACATCCTCCTGCTGTATGAATGCGTCCGGGAGAGCAACCCGTCTCGGATTTAGGTGCAAAAGTAGATGTAGGAATGGTTCAAGCGGCCCTCAGCCACATCCATTTCCTAGAATCCATAAGTGAGTCGGGTATATCTATGGTGACATTTGCCAGGTAAATGAGACCTACGAGTAGACGCCCAAGGTCCTGCACAATCTGCACATCCTCCCGGAGCCATTCTTGCTGCTCCGCAGTTATGGTGTTTTTGTCGTATGTCCTGGCCCGATCGAAATCCAACAATACCACCCTTTCTCCAGGAGCGACCATGAAATTTCTTGCTTTCAGATCATTATGCATGACCAGTGCAGCAGTAATAGCTTTGATGGCCTGGACAAATCTAGCCATACGATCTTTGGAAAAGGTGTCAAGATGCAATTGACGCATGTCGGGAATATATTCGATAAATATCGCACTTGGGAGCTCTGTGTCATTTATAAACATATTTAGATTTGGCTGCCAAAGTTCGGGTTCAAGCTTTTCGATGCTTCCATAGAATCGAGGCACATAGCCCTTTTCAGTCACGCCATGCGCCTGGAGTCGTCGGTAGGCAGTAGCTTCACGTTCATGGATACGCCCGTGTCCGGGATGATCATGGTGCTATTTGCCGGCTCTCGGTCAGCTCTCTTAGACAACATCTATCAAGATAGGTGCTCACCACTTTCATAACACATTCAAATCCCTGAACTGATACCAAGAAGACCGCGGCGTAGTCGTTGCGGTGCAGCTCCCGATGGAAAACCACGTTCTGCGGACAAACCTTGTTGAGTTTCATCATGTGTGGACGAGTGAGGTGAATGGTGTATAAGGTCTGCTGCTTCTTTGTTGACGGTTAAAGGGATCTGAAGGATCTCTCAGTCAGTTCTCGTGGTAGTTGCGTAGTTCAATTTAAAGGGTGCTCGTCGACCTCCTCGCGTTTGTACGGTGGACTTTTCGCCACAAAATGCAGAATTCCCCGGACCCACATTTTTCCTTGCGATACCATCCGCACCTGCGCCGCGCTTCAGTTGCCTAACCGGGGAATGGGCTCCTATCACCGCCATTGGCTATACTTGAATCTAAAGACATGACTCACCTGTTTTCAATAATGACAGCGAACAAACCTCAACGAATAGATCCTGGAGGGATACTGGCGATGACACTCACGGCATCCACTATTACTTCACAAACGTATTTCGCCTTTCGCAGCGGACAATGGATCCTTGTCATGCCTTTCTCGTATATAAGTACACCCACTGTCTTCGTCAACGGAGGGCAAACTGCAGCTTGACGCTCCATCAATGCATTAGCACAAGCAATTCTCATTTAGGGCTTCGAGAAACGCCTTCGGTTGACTGTCGTTTTCTGGATGGCCAACGCAGTTACTCTTGCTGCTTTCTTGCAGAACGGCCCTCCACACGTGCGGATCAACGCCCCGCCCAATCCTGGTCCAAATACGACAAATACTGCCTACAGCTGGGAAGATATTCACTCTCTAAATGCCTGGCCAGAGTTTACTCTGCAGCATATTACGAACCGCTATCGCCAGCTGCTCGACAATACCTCCCTTCCGAGTGAGCCAATTACTTCGCCGGGTCCGATTGTCAGTTCGGAGAATCAACTCAGAGCTCTTATTGTGACACAATTCAAAAACCGAATCAGACATGCTCTACGGGCAACGTTTGACCAGATCGGAAACCAACACCAAGGCCTCCAAGGGCTTACGAGAGTATCCTACGACGAAGGTGAAGGTGCCAGGATCATGGACAACTACAAGCCCGATGCAGCATTCTTTGACGAGACGATCCCGGCTACAACGAGTTGGAATCGCGCACCTGGCGAGGTAAAGCCATCATGGAAATGGACTAGCAATTTGCGAAACAGCCTCCTGCCAGCAGGCCGTCGAGAATGTCGCCAGGTTCTCTCGCAGCTCAATTTTTATATGAAGCAACATCATGCCCGGTATGGCTATATCATTACAGACCTGGAGTTAGTCCCCGTAAGGCGCCGAGACGATGTCGGCAATCTTGATCTTGCTCAACCGATTCCGTGGAACGCACGGGGAAACCCCGGAAACGAGCAGCTAACGGTCATGCTCGCACTTTGGTACCTGGGCATGCTGGCTGCGCAGAATAATGGCCCCGGGAGTTGGAATATTTGAGAAATCATAATATGCGCGTCAATATCTGTTGGCGTCGGATGGTGGAAATTTTCTTGGGCTGTGTGAAAGCTAGTGACTTTTTAAATCCCATTAACTCGAAAAGATCGAGGAACCAGAGACTGGTTCGGAAGAGGTCACAGTGGTTCTGCCACAGTTGCATCGAAAACTCCCATCCTTCTACTCACGATAGCAGGCTATGGAGGGCAATAGAGAGTAATTCACATTGTAGGAGTGAAGGGCAGTGCAAGCAAAATTAAAATTGTTGAATAGAAAACATTGTCTTAGCTTGATTCAGCGCTGTAAAACATATCCATTAATTCAAAATAATTATATTCAAAGTAGAGCAAATGCTGATCTGCGGGTATTGCTGTGAAGATGAAGCAAAGAAATAATTCCCAAAGTCAAAAAGGGCTACACATTAGTTATCCTTTATCAAATGCAAAAGGGAAACGGAAAGGCAGATTAGGACGTGAGGAATTGTGATTCACCCCATACTATCAATCCCTGATCCCTTGCGTTAACCGGTTACGGCGCCTTGTCTTTCCAGACGGCGGACGGTGGAAGATGATTGAAAACACTTCAAGATGCGGAAAATAACCCAGACATTATAAACTAATGCAGATTCAGTGTACATGTTGATAGCGTATTGTAGCGTGACTTGCTTTTTGTTTGTGTTTTGATATAGCATGCATTTGAGTAAGAGTGAGGATGGACATAATTTGTGAGAACCGCAACTCCTTTTATTATATATATATATATCTCTATTGTACAAAACTAGTTCTCTAGGCTCCGTTGATATTCCAACGCCAGTTTCTCCCGAGCGCGACCCCGCACAACAGTTCCATGGGCCTCCTCTGCATGACTTAGAAGAGCAGATTTGGCCGGGAGCACCTTCCCCTCACAAACATTGCACTCAACCCCAGTGGCCGGCCATGGAGGGTTGATATGTCTTCGTAGAAAGTGCCTTGTAAGTGATCCGGATGTTGCGTATTTCATAATGCGGTCCTCCAGCGCGCAACTAGGATTCCCAACACAGAGAAAGCAAACGCGAGGCCGAAAGCAGGTCTGAGGCTGTTCAGCTGTAGACTTGGCCTGCACAGACTCCATTGCTTGGTGCAAGAGGACCTCAGTGTTATCCTTCACCGAGCACCTCTGCCGCTTGGTCGGAGGACAAGGGTCATCATCGACCGTGGGCCGGCCACGGGTCTGCGTGGGCCGGCGCGAGGGCCGCCCTTCCTCCACGCCACAGAATGCAACTCCTGCGTTGATTGTGTTGATCCTCCGCTGATATTCCGCTTCAAGATTAGCGCCCGGCATGGTCAGCACGCAGTCAACAAACATTAAGTGCTCGGGAGGCATGAAGGCCTCGTGCTCGAAAGTGTCCATGACTTTGGTATCCACCAGCTTCCCGGCCAGTTGTCGCTCAAGGTCAATCACAGGCTGCTCATTCTTATAGCGCTCAAGGTTCTCACGGATCTGTCGGTTCCGCTGCCGCTGCTTCTCGTTGCGCAACTCACAGGTAGCCTTGTTGTGCTCCGACTTTGCTTCTGCTGTCCGATCACGGAAAACTTCCAGTCTCTCCAGCACCTCAGGGTCGGACTCGGCGAGTACTCTGTCGTCAAGGTGCCCTAGAGAAGTCTTGCATACCCTGTTGGCACGTTCTAACTCGGCTTCACGATCCTCCCATTCCCGCTTGCGCTTCTGGACAGTATCCTGACGGCCACGGACAACTGGAAGGTAATTGAGGGACCGTGATTCTTCTGGAGAGAGCTTATACGGTCGGTTGGGGTCGATGGATGCACTCATCGAGCAGGCAAATTGCACCAATGCTGTTTGGGAGCCTGTTTTCCGGACTATTCCCTGCGCGTCAACGTCGACGTCCACCTGATAATGCTTGACGAAGGTGCGAATATCCGCGTGCTGGAGCATGACGTTCTGAAGAGCTTCCGTAACTTCCTCTGTTCATCGTTAGCCCTCCGACATGACTGCAACATGAAGAAAACGGAGGGCTACTTACCGCTGTTGTTAAATGCCTTAGCTCCAGCATATCGGAGGTTGTACGGGTGGGCGACCTCCTCAAAGCCCGTGATCTCACCGGCTCGGCGCATCCGGGAACTCACCATGGATGGAGTCATCCTCTGATCCAAGCAAATTTTAAATCCGGTGGATGTTGGCTCCGTCTGGCAAAACACAAACTTATCCAGTAATTCATCCTTTAGTAGTAGCGGCTGCTGTCCCTTGCCATCCAGCACTTTGGCGCTGTAGAGTTTCTCTGCGCAATCCAACACTGGTCCACTTGTTGAAATTGACTTGAATCCTCCAATGTGAAAGAGCAGAGTCAGCAGGCAGATATGCGGGCTGAGAACCAGGGTCGGGTCAAAGATGATTTCCGG